CATTTTTGTAAATTTCTTCATTTATTTATTTCTTAAAGAAATCACGGGGGACGTCGATTTGATTTTGACTTTTCAACCTTTAAAAATTTTTCTTTTCCGGATCGATACCCCAGAATCAGTTAAAACATTAATTTTCAGGGTCAAAAATTTCAAATAATGTGGTTTCTTGCTTCACAAGATGTTAAAGGTTAATAACAAAAATTCAAAAAATACAGTGAAAGGGATAGACTGGCAGTACCCTGTCCAAAGTAACAGTTAGGCAGCACCAGCACAAACAAAACTGTCCAAAAATGAATAAATACAAGGGAACTACAAAATGTGCTAAGCACACCACAATTTTCTTATTTACTAATTACTACAACATCCTTAACTCAAATTACAAAATTAGACTTTTAATATGGTTTTTAATTAATAAATTATTATTACACCACAAATAAAAAAACTAAGGTAGAGGCCTATCACTATCAATTTGTTCATTCTTTCCTATTCCCAACATCCCATTCCTAATTTTTCTGGTCTATCAGAAGCTTCAAGTGCTTATTCTTGTTCGTGAGCTCATTTCTTAAGGTAGAGGCCTGCTCTTCAAGCTTCTCAATTTCAATTTGTTCTGAAGGAGATAGAGACGAAATAGCTTCAGGCGTCTTTGCCTTTTCAGCATTGGAAATAGCAGTGAGAACAGAGAGTAGAGCCACCACAGCTGCTTTGTACCGGAGGCGGGCCTCATCGAGGGTACCACCCCCAATATCAAAGTTAGGGTGATGAGGCTAGGCGGTAGAGGCGGAGGAAGAAGCGGAAGAAGACGAGTCCGATAAAACGTCACCATTCGAGTGTTGCCCAATACTCATACTGGTAGGCCAGCAATTAGGAATAGTAATATTAGTAGCGGCAACGATGGTGGTATTACGCTGAGTAGTGGTGGTGGACCAGATATTGGGATTGGCCGATTGCAAAGGTCGTCGTTCAAGGCGGAGAGGATTAAGAAAGCGGCTTCAATTGTTTCTTCGAGGGGTTTTTGGCCGTCAATTGTGAGCTCTTGTGTGGTTTTGGGGGTGGTGTAATTGGCGAAAGTGGGGGAGGAACTCAACACCAAGGGCTTGTCTTCCATTACTCGTTTTTTTATAATTAGGAAAA